GCTCTTTTTTGGTAGCTGATTGTGCGGCTAAGGATTAGGTGATTATGTTAAGTACTTTTTCTTCTGATAAGCAGAACTTTTTGATGATGTGGCTTAGTCTAATGCTAAAATAAGTGTAGAAAGAGCCTGCAGTTGTTGAGCAATTTTGCTTTTCATAAACAATCATTTTGGTGCATTTTGAATCACCAACATTTTTTTGCTAATTTTTGTTGCCAATTTATGAATTAATTGGATAGAACTGAAATTAGCTGATATTAATTTCTCTTTCAGATGATTCATTTGAGTTTATTTTCAGAGATTCTTTTTCTTTTTTAATTATCAAAGAATATAGAGCAAAATGATACGTGCAAGTGGTGCAGCACCAATCATTGTACTTAGTCAAAATACAACCAGAGAAAGTGGCCATCAGGTGCAAGCTGGTAATATTGCTGCTGCCAAGGTATTGAGTTTTATTATTATCATTATTGATCATATTTTGATTAAATATTGTTTTTACCCAAGCAGTCACACGGTCTAGCAGTCGCATGGGATGCAACATTATTATTAATTTCAGTAGTGTAATTCCTTTCATTATCTTCTGAGGGCACTATCATTATCATTCGCAGATATATTCTTTGTTCGAGACTCAAAATGGTATCTGCTAAGATCATCTTTTGAAATACTAATGCGGAAAGTATCAAGCTGAGAAGTTTCCCTAGAGAGGATGATTCCGTATTTTGATTCTTGTGTTTCAGACTATTGCTGATGTCATTCGTACAAGTTTGGGACCACGTTCTATGTTAAAAATGCTGATGGATCCAATGGGAGGTATATTTTTGTTTAATTTGAAAGAAAGAATGCACTGGATTTCCATATTATTAATGATTGTGTTTATGTGTTGTTATTGACTGACCAATAAGCGACAGATAATAGCAATTTCCGGCATATTGATGTAAGGAGTGTTTTCTGGACATTGTGATTATTGATAGTTTATTTACATAACAAGCATTTACAGGTATAGTTATTACAAACGATGGTAACGCAATTTTACGCGAAATTACGGTGAAACATCCAGCGGCGAAATCAATTATCGAAATAGCTCGTACACAGGATGAAGAAACTGGTGATGGTACTACCTCGGTTATAATACTAGCTGGTGAAGTGATGTCACAGGCACAACAGTTTTTAGATCAGAACATCCATCCGACTATTATTATTCAAGTGAGTCTTATCGATTTAGAAGTCACTATTTTCCAGTTTGGCTAAACACTAATTGAAAAGATTCTGCATATCAAAGTTGTGTACAGAACGAATTTACATTCAGGCTTATCGGATGGCTCTAGAAGATATGATTGTTCTCGCTGAAGAAAAATTCAGGTTACATATACAATCGAAAATTTGATAGTTTGTGCGCAATATTTCTTTAACCTATAATGTATGCTTTATTTGTAATGTATGTATATTTGAAATTTCTGCTCTTATCCTTTCTGGCAATAGATCTGTAAAGGATATTGCTAAAATAGAACCCTCATAACTCTATGGATTGTTTAGATTTTCAAATAAATCTCGTATTTATTTTAAATTGCGTCTAAGATGACGATATTTTTCAGTAAGCAGATTGATGTAAACAACGATGAGGAAGTCGGTTCTGTTATTAAATCATGTTTGGGTACAAAATTGTTGTCGAAATGGATGGATTTGGCTGTCAAAATGGCACTAATTGCTGTTAAAACTATTAGAATTGTCGAACAAGGCCATCAAGAAATTGACATCAAACGTTATTGTCGTATTGAAAAGGTATCAGTATTATTTCCTTACATTACTCTCAATTTTTTCACTAATCTCAAGCTATACGCTGTTCATATTCATGCTTAATTCATCTAATAGCACGATTATTATATACTATTCTCTTCTGAAAAATTTTTACTAGTAATAGTCGGAAATAAGCAAGAACTTCTATATGAGTAAGAAAAGTAACTCCTGTACTTCTATCAATGTTTCCTGTAAAGATCATATTTTCATATATTGCTTAATAACAGAAATAATGTAATCAAAAACAGTTTCTGGATATAGACTAATTCTAATAGTTTAACAACAGTTAGGGCGATTTTGAAGCCAAATCCATTCATTTCGACAACATTTTTTGAACATGTTCAATTCTAGATACCTGGTGGACGAATTGAAGATTCGCAAGTGATAAAAGGCGTGGTGTTGAATAAAGATGTGACGCATGCGAAAATGTTACGTCGGAAGGAAAAGCCACGTGTTGTACTTCTTGATTGCAATCTTGAATATAAAAAGGGCGAAAGTCAGATGTCATTGGAAATCATGAAAGAAGAAGATTTCAGTAAAGTTTTGGAACAGGTACATTTTGATTTAGTCCACCTTTTTGTTTCAGGATACTGGAATTCATTTTTGTATTGAAATGATCGGTAAATTTTCCAAAGTAGCATGATTGAAAATTACATTTGTTGTGGAAATAAACAGTTTTAAGGAAGAAGATGCAATCAAGAAAATGTGTGACGAGATAATAGCCGTGAAACCGGATGTTGTTTTCACCGAGAAAGGTGTTTCTGATTTGGCGCAACATTTTCTTTTGAAGGCGGGCGTAACGGTAATTAGACGCTTGAAGAAAACTGAAAACAACAGATTGGCTCGGTATAATATTTTAGTGAAAGATACGATCATATATATAACTTCAACTTTATATTCCGTAAAGAAACAAAAAAGTCGTAATCATGAAGTATTCTTAACATGGCGAAAGATACCCATGTCAACGTAATCTCAACTTCTAAAAGAGATGAAGCTCATGTTCCTGATATTTCATTGCAGTGTTACCGGAGCCACGATTGTTAATGATACGCAAGATCTTCGTGAAGAAGATGTTGGCACGAACGCTGATTTATTTGAAATCAAGAAAATTGCTGACGAGTATTACACTTACGTTACTTCAGAAAAAGCCACTGCTGTAACCGTAGTTTTGCGAGGCCCAAGCAAGGTAATGTCAAGAGATATATTGATTGAAAAAAGCAGGAGTTCAAACGTAAAAAAATTTTTTCCTTGTTCTAAACTCTCAACTTTAATCTCGTTTAAATTATAAAATATCTTGTTAGTAAATTGCGGAGATAGTTATTCGTGTTCATGTTTTCTAAATGATAAACATCTGATTCATCTCAAAATGGTTGTCTTCGAGGGCTGTGTATCTGGCTTTAATGTTTAGATATAAGCATATGATAAATTTCTAATTAACAATTTAATTATTTGGCTTATGTAATTTAGGAAGTTATAGCGTTGCACGAGCTAAATCTTCACTACGTTATCCTCAGTTCTGATACATCGTTATATTAGTGTTCATAAGCCACTTTTCGTTTTTATTTTGTAGGATATCATCAATGAAATAGAACGAAATCTTCAAGATGCATTGAATGTTGTACGTAATGTCATGGTGAATCCACGTCTTGTTCCAGGTGGTGGCGCTATAGAAATGGCATTAGCTCAGGTTGAATTTCTGATAGTTTGAATCACTAATTTTGTTGATGATTGCTTTCAAATGATTAACATTTCTACTGCTCAAAGAAAAGAGAATTTTTAATCACTTTGCAAAATGCTTTATTTCTGTTTAGGTTTCAATCTATAGGTTGCTATAAGTAGCTTTGAGAGAAGTGGTTACTCTCATGCATTGGTAGTTTTTATAGGCCTTAAATGAGAAAAGCAAATCAATTGAGGGTGTGCGTCAATGGCCGTATAAGGCAGTCGCTCACGCTCTTGAAGTTATTCCAAGAACATTGGTACAAAATTGTGGTGGTTCGACAATTAGACAGTTAACAGCTTTGAGAGCTAAACATGCTCAAGCTACCAACAATTGGACCTGGGGGATTGATGGGTGCACCGGTCAATTGGTGAGTTTTTATTTTCTCTGCGGTGCTTTAAAACTATTTCTGTAAGGTTCATGTTGGATTATAAAATAGGCGGAAGGTTTTGAACTTCACCATTCATCATTAAGGGCATTGAAGCTGTTGGTGGAGCACACTTTAGCGAGAACTGTAGCTAGAATAATTCAAACTTTCTTAAAATTCAAGGATTTGGGATTTTGTGATGAAATGATTGTTTAATCAAATTCTTATAAGTTTGAAGAACATTCGTTTATCAGTCATTATGTGTATTCTCTTATATGATTGAAACTTTTTCAGGCTGATATGAACGAATTAAATATTTGGGATCCGTTATCGGTCCGCCTGCAAGTTTTGAAAACAGCTATTGAGACAGGCGTGTTGTTGCTGCGAATTGATGATATCGTTTCAGGAACAAAGAAACGTGATGGTACTGGTTCAAGTGACGGAAATCCCACTGCTGATTCTTGAACTTTTCTTAATTTCTCAGAATTCACATTTTTGTTCTTTTTTGTATTGTTTTGAAATTTTAAATTTGTTGACATATTTGACCATTTCGCAAAGATCTTTACGCGATGATTTACTTTTTTGCCGCTGTGTAAGCTTTAGCACATGATCGTTATACATTATAAAACCACTATGTTTAATTATGTTTGATTATTAAAAAGTGGTGGAAATCACAATTTTTTTTGTTGAATGATGATAAAGCTTAACATTTACTGCAAGACCATAACTTCTCGTACTTATTTCTCTCGAAACTTGGAGACTAATTCAAAAAATGCTTTTTATTGTTAAATGTTTGAATTTTTTCGCTTTAAAATTTTGCTTAATTGTTATGGTGAAAAATGATAAAACGAAAAAGTTTAAAATTTTTATAACGTTTTACAGCAACTGTTATACAACAATAAAGTATTGATAAAGGCGAGCAGCTATTGTGGGCAGTCAGATGTTTCGATTCGTGAGGGCGATTCATTACTTCCAGTAGCTTGCATTCCCATAATGACTTGCATTCAACGTTCATTAGTCATGGTTGATAGTCGGAATCTTATATTCACTCCAGTCAAATTCTTAAAATGAACTTTTGGCTTTTTCAGGTTAACGTTGGTGCTTCATTTTTTTTTCCGGGAGGTGATGGAATTGGAGAGGTCTAAGAAAATAAAATATTCAAAACCACGTGAGCTTTCACCGCCGCCACCCGTATTAACCCTTGACGAATTGGAAGAACGATTGACAGATACTGACGAACGTCAGCCATCAACATCGGGAATTAGAAAGGAAGGTGCAACAAAAGAGGTAGAGAGGGATGATAAATCTGCCAATGGAGAAAATATTGTAAAATCAGACGAGAAACTTGGCGGCGCTATTTCAATATACAAATCATCCACTGATTCAAAAGAAATTAGCGGAACAGAGAAGTTTGTTTTCTTTAGACATGTATGAAGAAATTTGTTCCAACATGATCTCAGCATGTGTTGAGGTTTGATTAGCATTAGAATCAAAAAATTTCACCTTGAAGTTATAAGGAAAATTTCTGATTTTTGTTCAGCCACTTCTTAATATCATTCAAAAAAAATGCACATTTTCCCAAGCTTAACCCAGTAATTTTAAGTTATTAAAATTCCATGTGTTAACATTTCGAGTCTTTGAGAGATCCTATGAATGTTAGGTTATGCTACCAAGTGGAAAATACTGTACTGAAAAATATCAGAATTATGATAACATTGTACATATAACATTATTAAATTCAGGACAATAGAATGTGATGCGAGGCGAGATGATAAGGTTTTGTCCGAAACAAAGAAGGAAGAGGGTGTGGAAAATGTCACGTCCGCTAGTATTCTTGTAGATAATATTTATCTTGCTCCAACAACATTTGCATCCAGTTCACTTCTCAACAGCAAAGAAGCAACAAAAGCAAATGACGCAACGTCAGTACCACAGTACATCAATAGATTTTGTTGATTTGTCTTGATGTTGATTTTCCCATATGCGTTCCACAAGTTCCTTTAAATTTTGTTGTTTCTCATTTATGGTTTAAACCAAGATCGGATCAATATCGTTAACCTCTGTTTATTTAATATACTTCAACAAAAATGACAGGTACGGTCATGATGACTAAATAAGTTATCGAACAAGATGAAATGCTTCAATCAGAAAAAAGTACACAATTTTAGCTTATGTGCATGCTAGTATATTGATCAGAAAGCATGCATCCATATAAGAGAATGCAATAAATTTTTCACTCATTAAAAAAATTATTTCACTTGATTGTATTAATTACTTTTCGGATCGAGTATCTATCCAAATAATCAACTGAATGAAATGAAGGAAGCGGCTTCCCGGAAGATCAGTGAATTGTCACCGTTAATTTGTACTTCGGGACGAGTACAAGAACACGATATAACTGACATGGGACAATCAATGCCTCTGTTGTCAGAAACTCAGTATAAGTTTTATTTCATTACTTTTTTGCTTTGAATGACTGCTCAGTTATGACAAGAGGGAACGGAGCGAGCAGTTAATTTGGGTGAAATTTAATAAAATGAGAGAATTAACTTGAATTTTGAGAGAGTTCGATAATTCAATTTGAAAATCACATAAATTTAGTAAGGCCAATGTCACCCAAAGCTTGAGCTGTGTTTTGGTTAGTTGATTAGGCAGTTAAAATCATGAACCGAAGGCTGGTGCTGACCCATGCCTGACATAAAATACTCTAACAACTGGAAATACAGTGCTTTAAATTATTAAACCTTTATTATTAACTGTTTGTTTTGAAGCAGTAAAATTGTTTTGAAGAAATAAATCTTTATTATTATTTGTTTTATTTTTTTTCAAGGAATAAGGCTATGGGTGAACGCATAGCTAATGCTCATCTATCTTTTTTGTTGGAATGCAATGAATACGGATTGCTGACGGAAAATCAGTTATTAGCATTTTACCAAAACGAACTATATGAAACCGTGGAAGAGTTTGTAGATGAATTTTTAGAAGTATGAAGAATATTCCGTTTCAAAAATATATTCATATCTTAGATTTTGATTACAAAACCAATAAACTTCCGTTATTTTGTGTTTTATAAAAATTTATTTATTGAGCATTCTTTTTTTTCGAAATGTGAAATAATGCTATTTCTTAATGTTCTTTTTATAGCATGAAGAATTTCCACAACATAGTTTGCATGAATATTTGGAACGATATAAAATAGTATGTGAACATATCGATGCTAAAGAAATTGAAGCTATGGATTGTGAACAACTAGTGAAAGAATGTGCCCAAGCATCATGGACAGCTGAAAATCGAGTTATCAAGCAAGAAGTATGAATAAATTTAGAAAGTGACATCTTTATTCCAAAACTCTGTTTGAATTTCGAAGAAAAACTGCAGTCTGAAATCTGTTTTAATTGGGTATCTTTAATTATATTTGCTTGAAGGCAGTAAAAGTAGTCTATTAAATCAGATTCCGGTTGCATGTTTGATGAAGGTTACTCTAATTTGCATACTTGAAACTTTCTCATCTTTCCTTAATATATTGAATGTTTTTTATAGAGAAAAATAAACTCATATAATTCGACATAATTCTTGATATCATTCTATATAACTCGACATATTCGACGTCGTTTTTATAATTAAAATGTAAAGATTTCACAGAAATTTTTAACTGCTATTAGTATTCTCAATATATTATAACAAAAACCTCGTGGAAGGAATGCGTGAAGCGTATTTTAAATGTTGTTTTACTTATTTACTACATAATTTACGATTCGTTTCATTTCAGGGACGATGCGGAGAACAGAAATATGCAACAGGTAGTTCAAATTATTTAATTGCAACGTTTCATCCCGAGAAAGCTACAGAATTGTCCCGCTTATTGAAGCGTGATGTATCTACCCGCCTTGATTCGTCGTTAAGTTTACAAATTCAGGTAACAGTACATTTCTATGATCCTTCCAACTTACCGTTTAATACTTGCGGAAAATCGTTTAAATAACCGTTTCTTTGCCAAACACTGTTTCAGTTGTTTTGGATGTGGAAAAATTCCAATATTCTGAAATTTGTACATGCAGATTTATTGGAGAGAGGATGCTACTATTTTTAAAGACGATTTACTGTTTTTTAAAATCGTTTCATTTAATCTTCATTTATGCCAATATATGAGCTGAAGCTTAACATTCTAAAATATGTTATTCAAAGGCAGGTGCCAAATAATTCTGTAAATAATTTATCATTTTCAAACAGTTAAATTAGTCATTAAAAAAACATTTAGATAAATGATTTCTTATTAGTTACAGATGCGTTCTCTTGCATTACAAATTCAATGGCGTATTGTTGAGTACAACAATATCTTTATGGTGGAACATCGTTGCAATATAGATAGTCCACCGTGCTGTCAGTTTTGTAAATCTATTACATCATGCGAAAAATTGCTTTTATAATGTTATTCCTCGACATAAATCCATCAAACTTTATGAAATATTTTTATAATATCTAACAAAATACAGTTCTGTATGTTGTGGATAACAAACTTGTTTGAATTCTTAGTCTTTCTTTTCTGAAAAATGTTATTTTATAACTTTTCATCTGAATTGAAATATCATTTTAATTATCTTTTATTTCCTGTGATTTTTTCTCAAGTTTTAGTTCTTCCTGGTAGTGCTGATACTGTAAGCAGGCGAAACCTTCGTAATGCACTTTCGGATTTGTTCCACTATTTACGTTATCCAAATCTTCCTTCACGGTTCATATCTGCCGTTTCTGGGTGGATCAGTGAATTGGTAAGTTCCATATTAAAAGTCGCTTTCCCCAGCTTATATGTAGAAATTGAATTTGTTTTTTGAAAAAGAACTTTGAAATGATTTTTTTGAAGTTCATGATTCAGGTAGCTGTTCTTCTGAAAGCATGTACTTCTTCTGACCAGCAGTATTTGTTATGTCAAGTACTTCGTCTAGTTTCACCAGTATCCCAGTGGGCAGCACCATTACTTCAATCATATATCGAAATTGACAGCATGAATGATCGTCTTATTATTGATAATTATATAGTAATGATGAGTTTGCTGCTTTCATCAATACGGTAAGTACTTATTGATTCTTGGTATTGACACTCTCGTCGACCATGTATTTAATTCTCTATTTATGTAACTTCCACATGGTTGTTGATTTTGATTATTGTTTTTAGTTGACATTTTTAATCATAATTATTCTTTTCATTTTTAGCAGTCTACATTTCTACATTTGGTACATATGGGCTTGAAATGATATGACTTAATCAAATCTTGTAATTTTGAACTTTGAATGATTGATGTATTGCAGGGGCCGTGAAAATTTTTTGCGACGCATAATGAATGTTGAAAATGGAAACAATGCATGGGTTGTTATAAATGACGATGGAGCGGAGGTGATTTTCCAACTTTACCATACTAATTAGTGAATATTCAACTTTCATAATAGCCTGTATTTTGATGGTTTGTAGCTCATTTAAAAGAGAAATTTAATACAGCCAATTTTGAGTAATTATGGAATTCTAATTAGTCAACAATTTTGAAGAGTGATCCAAATATGTACGTCAACAAAAACATGAAAGATGTCACTTTTCAGAAAGATGGATCTGTAATAACCATAAGTGAAACTGATTTGATTGCATTTCTCAATCAATTCAATGCTGAAGCTGCTTTTGCTAAAGCAGTTCGATGTTTTGCTATCACTCTAAGTAAGTCTCTCAGTCGAACTAAACAGTTCTAATTAATTCTTCGGTCATTAATGTGTCGCTTGGAATTTAAACTGCTGTTTGATGTAGAATTAATTTGCTTTACATCTCCAACTTTATTTCACTTTCACTGAGCTGTAATATGATTTTTAGAGTTAATTTTATTGTCAGCATTTTTTTAAGGATCGGATCCAATTAATCAGGCTTTAACTTTGGTTGCTTTTGAATTGGTGCTCATAAAAATATTTAACGATGGCTTGTACACCTATGGCACACCCAATTATCGTCAATTTTGTAAACAAATTGGCTATGCGTTACGCCAAAGTGTCATGTAATTTTTATTCAAGTAATTTATATGTCATGGTTTATATTATCCACTAATTAAATCAAGAAATTCTACTTAATTCAAATGAGATCTTCAGCAAACTCGATTAGATATCTCCCTGCAGTAAGAGAATGTCATTGGATGGGCGCTGTAAGAATTACTGACGGTATTGTGACAAATCTTTTGTCTGTACTGCCGGTTCTATTATGATCATGAAATGTAGAACATTCCTCAGGATAACTATGTATTAATAATTTTTATTTACAAATGCAAGTAATCCAGACAGCACTGATATGAATAAATTGCAGATGTTCAGCAGAATTTCTGAAAGTTATCAAAGATATGTTATCAACTGCTGAAGCAGAAATAGTGCAGAAAGAATTTGATCGCATTGTTCTACATGCCGTGTATTATATCGTCAGCAAGCAGAAGTATTTTATTTTATGTATTATTAAATTTTTTTAAATTTTTTTTATATCATACACTTTGGCTATTTAAAGTAAGTATTGGTTAAGAAACAAGAAAAAAGCAATAATATTGCAACTACAATACTAAGATAGTACATTGAGGACGAGAAACATTAGTCAAGCAAAAAAGCTAATGCCATAATTAGCTGTAATTAACATAGAAGACGGTCCCTTCATGATATAAAATTGTTGAATGTAATTTCCTTCAATGCGTGAAGATCAGTCAAAAGTATTTCGGTTTGGAATATCTGTGAATTAGGCTATTGACGATATATTCAGCTTTTTTCGCCAGTTTTTAAACATTTTTTTTTTATTTTTATATCAAAAAACATAAAATAAAATAACTTCAGCCTTGGCCTTTTGCAATTTGTAGTAGATTTGCCATATAATTTTGCAAGTGAAGCATGTCGAATGCGTTGTCAAATATTGTTGAAGCGAAAAATGGCGGTAACAGTAGCGCAACTATACGAGTTTCCAGAAGAAGATTTGCCTAATTTAGTTGACAAAGGTTTGCATGACATTTATTGATTTCGTTTTTTTCTTACATGAAAAGATTTCGAATGGAGTAAAAATTTTTCAATATTATTTATTTTTTGATTTTTAAAGCTGGCAATTTATTTGACAAATTACCGGATTTGCCCAGTGACGATCGCATTTATATGATTTCGGCTTTAGCATCCATCATTTCTGCATCGGATTCATATGTTGATTCATTTACCATTGAAATACTGAATGTAAGCCATTTTTTATTCCATATTATGATTCAAAAAATATATTTGTTAGATATTTCTTAAGCTTTTTATACTTTTCTCTAAATTTTGTGTTTCCAATATTATAATAATTACGATGGTTATAGGCATTTTTTTTTTATTTCAGTCATGGTTTGATTGTACTTTAAGCATAGCGTATGTACATGCAGAAGTGTTCATTGAAAGTGCAATTTATTTATTACTAATAATGCAGTAATTTATATCTCTTTAAGGTGTGCTTCCTTGATGTTTCTATGCGTGATCATTTTTACAAAGTTGGTGCTGAAACGATTGGAATTCTCATCGATAAGCATCCATATATCCTCCAGAAGATATTACTTTTTGTTGATCGAAATCTCGATTCCCTAGAAGAAGTTAATAATTTCAGTGTTTATAGATAATAACAATAATTTTTATTTCGCGTCGATTATTGGAACATTTGGGACTGAGAAAGAATAATAGTATAATCTTTTTACCTGACGTAATAATTCAGTGTTCGTTTAAAAATTATCATTCATTCATTTAATCATCGCTTAGCATTATGTAACGTTAGCTTTTCTGTTTGCTTGAAAGTTTTGATTTGTGCATTCTTTTATTAGTGACAATTGTTTGATTATATAAGTACTAAAATCATAACTGAGATATTGAAGTGGAACTATAACCAAATTGTCAAACTCATTTTCAGTATGCAGTAGAAGTACTGTCAGTAGCACCTTTGTCAAAATGTCGCTTGTCGGTAGATGATGTCGGCATAATATGTGGAAAATGGTTGATCAACAGGCCAGCAAATCATCCTGCGTCCAGAATTGCCAGGCTAGCATTTTTTTACTATTAATGATTATTAATAATAAAAACATTTAAGAGAAACGAAGATTACTTTCATACGTTTAAAATTTCCAAGGATTTAAATTTTATAAGATTTGTTAACAATTTCAACATCCATTATGAAGAAAAATTTTTCATATTTACCAGGTTTAATCAGATTTAGTTAAGGCGTGTGCTTGGTTCTATGAATTGGGGGACAGATGAAAATGGAAAGCTTTGGTTGCAGCCTGAAGTACATATTGTTTGTGCTGATACCTTAATTAAAGGGCATATGGCCCAGTGTAAAACAACTAATGGATTAATTTCGAAATCTTGGAATAAAGTCGCCAAACTGGCGGCGAAAGTACCTGATTATGAACATCAATTTGATGCTTTCTGTTGGGATATTTTAGTACGATTGAAATTACCGCTGCAGGTACTTCTTATTTTAATGTTTTTATTTTAATGTCTTACAGATAAGGTAGCAAAATGATCTATTAAATTTATTGAAATTCCACTTTTCTAATGATATAGCCTGTATTCGATAACTCAATATTTATAGGTACAAAAAAAGCTACTGCTGTAGAATTTACACTTGCGTCTAAAATGTGAAAAAAAGGTGTGCCTAAAACCCCTACTCTGTATTAGCATTAATCACCGTTGATAGAAAATTTGAAATCAACTATTACTTTGTTTTATTTTTTTTGAATTTTTAATTATCTATGTGATTATTCAGTTGTCGACTAATTTTCAAATAATACTAAATAGATATGATCAGGCTTATAAAATTTTTTTTTCTCAGGCAGATACTGTAAATATCCAGTCAGTCAACGATCTTGTTTCTTTCTTCGTTTTCGTTATCCAGCGATCATTATTAAGGTTGCAATAACTTTATATTTTTACAGGACATCCTTTTCTCAACTTTTATATTTCATTCATTGTTAAAGGCATTGTAATGACAATTTTAGTGAAGTTTTCCTTGAAGCTTTAATCAGACAAAACAGCTTTCAGTGTCGATGAATTTTTATCATCAGGCTTATCATTATGGTCGGAGCTTATTACATCTGGTTGTTATGTTGGATCAGTAGTAATCCTTGCACGACTTATATCATCATTTCCGGATGCAGTCACTACCTTAATTTCACATGAAATGTAGTCCAAGTTTAAAGATCAAGTTCTAATTCATAACATTTTTTTTTTTTTGATGAAACTTCAGAGCTAAATGTGACTATTAGTTTTGGAATTTTCTTGCAGCTTCATACAGTGTCTTGATCGATTACTTCTGTGTGATTTGTCGTCTTATGCAGTTCAGTTTATTGCTGGTGCCAATAAATTTCCTGGTCCAACCATTCGACTTTTAAGCTCAGCTATTACAGTTTGTGTTCAGTTACTGAATTCACTAAATCTAATGACACTTTTGGAAAAATCGGGACTTCTGATTTTTTAGTACGAAGTAGTTCGAGCCTGAAATTTCTCATGAGATCCAAATTTTAAACATAAAGTATAGGTTTGGAATAAATTTCAGTACCATATGAATAAGGATTTTTCGCAAGTAAAATTGAGCAGTTGGATACAATTGTTGTGCTGCAAAAGACCTACTCAGTGGAACACCGATAAATCTACGCTTTACCTATTAGGAACATTGGTCCGTATAGCATTTACAAAGGATCAAATAAAGCTATTAGGTATTCCGGAATTGCTTAAAACCAACTATGCTGCATTGCTACAGGTAAAATTTTATCAGAAACTGCGAAGAAGAAAACTAATTTGTCATGAAAAATTTATATGTCGAATTAGAATTGTACAATAATCGAATGAAACAAACCTTAGTAGCACGATTGTATGCATCGTATGTCGTTTAATTTTTAGAGCAGTTAGGCTATCTGCGATAGGATGTGTTAAGTTTTTGATTTAAATAGCTTTAGATATCTTCAAAAAATTCCAAATCAGCATCTTTACTTAGAATTTCAATCCATTTTCTTCATCATTATAAAGTTAAATTATAATTATTAAATAATTTCTGATTTACAGCAGTGGAAAGATGGATCAAAGAGTGTGCTATCGTGGTTTACAAGTGATGATAGCGTTCCTCCTATTATTGATTCCGCAAATATGAATGTTTCACCATGGGCATCGTTTGCACTGTTATTAGCTGAACAACAGAGCCATGAAGCCTTTTATGAAACTTTATACCAAACAATGAGTAAGCATCCAAAAAATAGTTTGGACCAGTCCGTAAAGGTATACTGTAATATTGAAATACTCAAACTTAATATATCGTTTTAAATGAAAATTTCGGGAATAGCATTAAAATAAAGTCCACAGAAAAAATTATTTTCATAAATTAAAGAAAACTAGAAATTTTAATTAAAACTATAATTCGAATTCAGGATTCAAAATTTTCTGCAATTTGTAGGTATTTTTCAAAGCCGGAATCTTTGCTCATCTTGAGAATCTTCGAGATGAAGTTTTATCAATTATTATAATCAAATTTCAAAATGCATGCAGGCACTATAATGCTCAATGTGATCTACGTTGCAGAATGCAGAGGAAGTGAGTTATTTTTTTACACACATCTTTTACACTGCAATTTAAAATATAAAATATACCAATTTTTGTAAAATTTAAAAATTATAAAATTAGAAAATTTTAGTTCCATGTTTAAGTAGCATTCCACTATTAATTTCTCCATGATTTTACGCGATAACTATAATTATAAAATTAGTGATTATTTGCAACTTAGAGCTGGTGCCTTATTGCTGCAACGCAACATTCGTGCATGGTGCACATTGCGGAATTGGAATTGGTTTAAGTTATATGGTCGTATCAAACCATTAATTAAGGGAAATAAAAAGGTAAAACAATTTATTTTAAAAAATCGAATTTATTAGCAATAAAATTAAATTGATTGGGAGGAAATAAGCATTCACTGAATTTGATTAACAATTTTTGGTTTTATTGTAAGATTAGAATAAGATGAAGATATATTTTATCGCATATAAAATGTTTATATTAGAAATAAGTCCGTAAAAATTTTTGAAAAAGTTTCTATTTGTAAAGGATGAAGAAACTGAAGCACTGCAAAAGAGAATAAAGGAATTGGAAGAAAATTTTAATCGTGAAGAAAAATTGCGTAAGGAGAAAGAATCGGAAGTAGCCAAATTGATGATCGAAAAACAGCAACTTTTCCTGCAAGTTCAGCAGGAAAAAGATATAAGCGCGAAAGGAGAAGAAAGAGTTGCAAAATATTTGGCTCAAAAAACTGATGTTGAAAAACAGGTAAGAGTGTTTTTTCTTTTTTTTAAACTACGAATCTTCTTGTTATCTTAATATATAAAAATTTTTAAGCGTTTCCACATTTATATTTCAAAAAAAGAGCACAGCATCACTGTTCGAATCAAAAATGTCAAAAATTCTGCTTTATTCAAATTTCCAGATATATCTTCAAAATCAGTTAACTGTAAATATCATTTGTTCCGACATCACTTCTATCAATAATTGTTACCATTATTATATCTCAGAAGTGAAGTGTTATTGATAATGAAAAAATTAACATTTGTAATATTACAGTTTGCTTCTGTAAACGAACAGCTTGCTGAACAGGAAGACAGAAACGCAACTTTATCAAAAATAAAGAATAAGATAGAGCATGATAATGAAACTTTGAAGCTTAAAGTTGCTGAATTGGAAACCACTTGTAAAAGGCTTAATCAGGACAAGCAAGTCAAAGATCATCAACTCCGATCTTTACAGGTCTATACTTTTTGCATCTTTCTTCACAGATTGTTTTCTTTAAGATCAGATCAAATGTCACTAAATTGACAAAATTGAAAAATAGCAAAGTGGTAAAAAGCATTGGTATACACTAAAACGATTGTTTTAAGGATGAAATAAGATCACAGGATGAGGTGATCGCAAAAATCAGTAAAGAAAAAAAGCATCAAGAAGAGGTTTGCCATTTTAAACTTAATGTAAAACTTTATCAGGAACTGTTTAAAATGTGGAGAATAAATTATTATAAGCTTGCGAAGAGAATAAATCTTCTCTGCAAACCTTTTAAATAAAATTTAGATTAGACAAATTTTTTTTTAAGCAAATATTTTAAAATAATAAATATGAGGAGATAGAGAGTATTTGTCATTATCAGATAATTGATTATGATTTCTTTCTTTGCAGACAAATCGTAAATTTCTGGAAGAAATTCAATCTGAAGAGGATAAAATAAACCATTTGAACAAAGTACGAAATAAACTAGAACAAACTGTGGATGAAATTGCGGATAATTTGGAACGAGAACGACGAATACGCCAAGATATTGAAAAATCAAAACGTAAAGCTGAAGGAGAGTTAAAAATTGCGCAAGAAAATATTGATGAATTCATAAAACAAAAGCAAGAAATGGAAAATGCATTAAAAAAGTAAATTTTTTATGATCAACAGTATTTTTTTCAATTAGAATTATTTCATCCATTGAGAAAAGTCATTTTCTCCTATATTAAGCACTACTTTAACAACAAGATTTTGCAAAACAACGACAAATGAAGTTGCTAATAAGAAGATAACTTCGAGTGTTAATAAAAAAACTTAACTGACATGCAAATTTTTAGAAAGTTAAGAAAAAATATATGTTGATGAAACAATTTTGAAGGAAAGATATTGAAATAGCTTCAATACTAAATCGTATAGACGATGAACAATCAACGGTAAATAAAATGGAGCGTCAATTGAAAGAACAAATTGCGCATTATCACGAACTTGAAGAAGAGCTTCAAGCTGAAAGGCAAGCAAGATTAAAGGTTAACCTGACTTACTCCCTAACTTTTAGAATAGCCTAGAAAATTTGAATTAATTGAATTTAGTTCACATTTCAGATCAATTATTTGTATTATAGAAAAGATTTTACTTTTTCGCTTCTTTTAAGACAGCACGGCCATTGTATGAAAATTCATTTAATCTTAAAATTTTTCAAATTATACACCAATCTTTGTTATTATAAAAGATTAAAACAATGCAGAAATATTTTCGCGACAATATAGATACCGTTAAAATAACCCTAAGAATATCATATTATTAGAAATTCTGCAAAAAAAAATTTTTTTCTTACTTTTTCAAAACTAACGAGCAACAAGTTAAAAAAAATCAAACTTTCTTCAATTACAAGTTCTCATTTTTGTCATTTCGAATGTAATTTTTCAACGTAAAAATATTTAAAAGATTGAGAGAAGTCGCAGTGAAATTCAAAAAGAACTTGAAGAGCTTAGCAATCGCCTAGATGAAGCGGGCGGTGCAACACAGGCGCAAATTGAATTGAACAAAAAGCGCGAAGCAGAATCGGCTAAGCTTCGTCGAGATTTGGTTAGAAAACCCTTACATTTCATAATAAATCGATTTAATGTGTATAAATTTTGAATTGTTTAGTCGAATTTTCACATTCAATTTTTAAAATGTCATTTTATGAGCATAATATGTTATGATATCATGCATAAGTGAAATAAAAATTTGTTCAAATCAAAAATATTTTTACTGTTGTAGACAATTTTTAATATGAATATATCAGTATGAATAGCGTCTCAACTGTTTTGTAACAAATATAACAAACAATTAAATGAAAAGTTGCCATAATTTGTAGGAAGAAGTATCTCTGAAGGCTGAAACAGCTCTCGCTAATTTACGTAAAAAACAGAACGATGCAATGGCAGAACTTTCTGAACAACTGGATACTGTCCAGAAGGGAAGAGCAAAGTTGGCTTTCTTCTAACATTCAATTAGTATTATTACTTCAGGATTGGCTAAATGCATTTAGGAAGAAAAAATAGAGTTTTTTCAAATGAATTTTTGTAAGTTTGCAATAATAAAATTTTAGAATAGAAAAAGAAAAAGAGTCTCTACAGCGAGAAATTGATGATCTGCGAAGTCAGTGTGATTTGGAAGCTAAACAACGGCAAAATGCGGAAAAATTTGCCAAGCAGGTTGAATTCAAAATAAATTTTTAGTAAGATGTTTAATATTTGATAGAAATTTTTTGAATTTCAACTCAGTAAGGAATTTTTGTAAATTAAATTTGAAATTTTAGTTGGAAGCGCAATTAGCGGAAGCTCAATTGAAATTAGACGAACAAACAAGAAGTTTGCAAGAAGCTATTGCAACTAAAAATAAGTTGAAGATTAAAGTCAGCGACACGAGCAAGTAATATCAAAGATATCATTGCATACTGAATTTTTTTTCTAATAATGTAGTTTAGTCAAAAATAACAAAAAGAAGCACGAGAACATTGATGAATTTGTGCAGCAAATTACCGTATTATCAATGATACCACGTTTATCAATACTGGGGAGGAAGATTTGGCAGATCAATATCGAAGTGATCTGCATCTCTTCTTAAAGAGATAAATTGAATTCTTTTTAGTCAAATTGAAGAGTACGGAAATCAGATAGCATTGTTGAATCGTATCAAGCAACAATTGACAGTGCAGTTAGAAGAAGTGAAACGACAATTGGAGCAGGAATCTCAGGAAAAGCATTCATTTAATTCACAGGTACATAAGCATTCATTCAGTAAATGAGGAAGTGGTAATTCTATTTAAATTCGAAATTAAAAAAAAGAAAAAAAAACATAAGAACGTAAAATTTAGCTTTCAAATTTACAACTGGAGTGTCAGCAACTTCGCGACACGATAGATGAAGAATTGAGTAGTAAAACAGAACTTCAAAGATTACTCTCAAAAGCAAATGCTGAAACACAGCAATGGAAAACCCGATATGAAGATGAAGAAATGAATCGATCAGAGGAACTGGAAGAAGCTAGGTAATTTACAGAATCCGCTTATTTAATTGCATTTGAGTCAATGATAAAAGTTTTGGAATTTCAACTTTGGATTCGCTATTACCCGTATACAATGTATGAGAAGTTTATCATTTTATCGATGATATCGCCTATCAACATTGCTTCATTTATGTCATTTAGCAGAAAATTGAATATTTTGAGGCAGAAATTACAAGCGAAAGTTCAAGAAATGCAACAAGCATTAGATGCAGCAAATAATCGTATTAATTCATTGGAAAAAGCTCGCTTACGGTTGGCTCACGAACTTGAGGATGCGCAAATGGACGCCGACAGGGTAACTGTTCTTCTCATACCTTATTCATGCACCAATTGAAACTGGTTCCAAGATTTTGAAATTATAATTTTTCTAAAAAGTCATATTATCAATTTCATAACAGTTATGGCTTAATATTAAATTATTGTTACAGCTCTATATAAGCAAAGTTATTCTGAATTTTTTTTGATGACATTTTACTGACATCAGATAGGGACCTATTTTACAAGTTTAATGCAATTAATTAGCCCAAAACGTTGCAACATTTTATATATTCGGTATAAATATTGGTTTTTAGGCTAACAGTTTCGCAAATTCTTTGGAAAAAAAGCAAAAAGCGTTTGATAAAACGATTGAAGAATGGAAGCGAAAATGTGATTTGCTAACACAGGAATTGGAAGCAAGTCAACGGGAAGCACGAAATGGGGCCAGCGAAATATTCAGACTTCGCAATATGGTAGAGGAGACAGGAGAACAGGTGCCTTTGTCTTTGTGTTTTTCATTATCTTCCAAAATAGTAATTAATTGTATTTTTGAATTGATATTATCATTTCGTAGATCAATAACTATTTCTTAGAAATCAGTAATCGATGGTATTATCTTCTTCTCTGATTGTGACAATGTTTAGGGTTTGATTGCAATCTTTCAGTTACTGTGGACCTCAAACTTGGAAATTAAACCATAGCAATAATAGCAAAAACACAACATTAAAACAAGAAACAAGCGGTACAAAGAATAAACCAAAGTGAACCTCAACAGAAGAAAAAATAGAAAGGATGAAGAGATGAATGATTTGATGTCTTATATAGGCAAAGTATACGTGCATATCATAACGCGGGAAAATAAGGAAAGATATAAGAGCAAAGGAGATCATGTA